GCCCTTCCTCGACAGGAAATGGAGTGTAGGTATGGAAATAAATTGACCCTCTCCCTGCCACCAACTCTGCCTTATCAGCCCAACCCCATCTTCTTCAGTTCTACCAAGTTGCTAACACCTGTTGTTGTTTTTAAATCCTCACCTGAGGATATGTTTTTATTAATTTTAAAGAGAGAGGAAGGGAAAGAAAGAAACATCAATGTGAGAGGGAAACATCGATTGCTTAGCTTTTGTAGGCACCCCTGCCAGGGATGGAATCCACAACCTTTTTGGTGTATGGGATTATGCTCCAACGAACTGGGCCTTCCAGACAGGGTTTGCTACCACCTTTTTGATTGCTTCTAAAAGTCATCAGAATCTATGGCAAGGACCTTGTGATGCAAAATTTTTTTATTTATAAGTCTTTTCTTTCTATTTTGTTTAGGAACTCTTGGTGATAAAACAAAAAAGTGGATTTTTCTAGATCCCCAAGTTATAGTTGATTTGTAGTATTAAATTATGAGAAAATGAAACTGTCCATTATTTTTCATATATTTAAAAATAAAATACAGTGTTGTTAAATTGTGTTTCTCCCTGTGTTTCAGAGATGTACCTGCAAAAAGGGCTACTGTTGTTCCTCAAGTGCAGTCAAGCCAACCATTCCAGGAATTCTGCAGTACATACTGTGTGTCCCCCTACGAAGACAACCAGAGTCTCAGAAAAAGAATTTCAAATAAATCAAGATGTACAATCTGTAGTAAACTAACAGAGGTCTGAGTTTTTGTATCTTAAGTTATTATCTACGATAACTTTAATATGTTTTTTTAAAAACTGATTTTAGAGAGAGAGGAAGGGAGAGAGAGAGAGGGAAAAAAACTTGAAAATGAGAGAGAAGCATCAATTGACTGACTCTTGCATGCTCCCCTACTGGGGATCGTGCCTAAAACCCAGACATGTGCCCTGACTGGGACTTGAACCAGTGACTTTTTGGTGCATGGGACAACTCTCAACCAACTGAGCCACACTGGCCAGGGTTCTAGGATAATTTTAACTGTTAAGTGCTATTCTGTGCTCTGCCATCTACATAATGCACATGTCCTGAATCTGCACAGTGAAGTTACAGGAAGGACTAAGGATATGCCAGAACTATTTTATAAACAAATGTCTTATTTGCACAGTATGAAAAATATACATCTGTTTCTATAAAATTGGATGTACTCATCCATAGAGTAATAGTTGTATAGTGGATTTTGTTCTTACCAGACACGGTAAATTAAAATGTAGGTTCAGGACACAAAGGAAGCAACCAGTCCTGGTGCAAGAACATATAGAACATGTGGACTGAAAGTATGTTGATAACTTCACGTTTCTTAATTGGTATTGCCATCCATCCAGTTCCTGAAAGAAGAAACATGCATGTAGGCAGTCCTGACTTAACACAGTGCTTGGTAACAGTTTGGTGTTGGTTTCTGCAGAGCCATGCAAATCCAGGACACAATTTTATCGCAGTTATCACAGAGCTGAGCAAGGCAAGAACCCCTTAGTCTTGTATATCCAGACAACATCCAAATATGGAATACTGATTCACTTAGTCCCTCCCACAAATTATCTAAATCAATGAAGCTTATATGACTAAGAATTCTCAATCTATTTCTTTTAAGTGGGTGGTATCAAAATCTTTTAAATCCATTCATTTTCTGGAATGCTTAAGTTTCTCTGGGGAAGTTATTACTGATTTTATTGGTTTTTGTTCTGTGTATCTTATTTTTATAAAAATCAAAGAATGATTTTACAAAGAAATCAAAGATAAAAATGAAAGAATAATGAAATGGGCTTTTTAGTCTTTTTCCTGAATATTTTTTCCACTGAGTAGTTAAAAGAGTGTCTTTGTTTCTATTGAAATTAGTTATCTCTTGCCGTAAGTGGTTTGGCTCAGTGGAAAGAGCATCGGTCTGCGGACTGAAGTGTTCCAGGTTCGATTCCGGTCAAGGGCATGTGCCTTGGTTGCCAGACATGTCCCCAGTAGGGGGTGTGCAGGAGGCAGCTGATAAATGTTTCTAACTCTCTATCCCTCTCCCTCCCTCTCTGTAAAAAATCAATAAAAACATATTTTAAAAAAAAAGAAACTAGTTATCTCATTGCTTACTGTGCTAATCTGGCTTATTTATATAGTAAATTCTCATTTTTCTTTTAGATTCGCCATGAAGTCAGCGTTAATAATGTGACACACAAACTGTGCAGTAACCACTGCTTTAACAAGTACAGGTTGGCTAATGGTCTGATAATGAATTGCTGTGAACATTGTGGAGAGTACCTGCCTAGCAAAGGTTCTGGAAACATTGTCCTGGTGATTGATGGCCAACAGGTGACATTCTGCTGCCAAAGTTGTGCTAATGAATATAAACAGGTAATTCTTTTAATTAATTTTAGATGATCAGGTATACAATAACCTGTTAGCTTACATTAATCAGATTGATCTTAGAATTTCATTTAGTTCCACTTTTGTCAATCTGTCATTGAGGTGTCACATCTAAAGTGAGTATTGAAATCGATTGTTGTAAGTTTGTTTATAATTTTTACTTTTTGCAGACATCACAAGTAGTTCCTTTCTCTACTATTTTATACTCCTGCTGATAACTCGATAGTTCCAGTTACTTCACATTCTCCACAAAACTTGGTGTTGTCTGTTTTTTTTGTTGTTTTTTAAAATATTGAAAGATAAAGATAGAAACATCAGTGAGAGAGAAACACGAACTGGCTTCCTCCTACATGCTCCCTACTGAGGACTGAGCCCGAAACCTGGGCATGTGCCCTGACCACAGCATCTGCTATGACCTCTTGGTACATGGGATGATGCTCACTCACTGAGCAACACTGGCTGGGTGGTGTTATCTGTTTTGATTTAAGGTATTCTAGTGGATATAAAATTTGCATTTCCTCAATAACTAATGTCCCCCTTTCATCATTCATATATCGTCTTTTGTAAAATGTCTATTCAAGTCATGTGCTCATTTTTAAAATTAGGTTTTTGTATTATTGACTTAAAGGAATTCTTTATATATTTTGGATGCATATCTTTTATAAAATAACTAGAGGCCCGGTGCACAAAAAATTGTACACTCGGGGGGGAGGGGGGTCCCTCAGTCCGGCCTGTGCCCTCTTGCAGTATGGGACCCCTCGGGAGATAACGATCTGCTGGCTTAGGCCTGCTCCCGGGAGGCAGAGGGCAGGCCCAGTCCCTAGGTGCAGCCCCTGGTCGGGCTCAGAGCAGAGCTGATTGGGGAGGTGGGGCGCCGCCCCCTGTCATGCACAGAGCAGGGCCAATCAGGGGGTTGGGGCGCCGCCCTCTATCACCCAAGTCGCAGGGCGGATCAGGGGGTTGGGGCGCCGCCACTCTCACACTCTGGGCAGGGCCGATGGGGAGGTTATGGCTCTACCCCGTCACACACAGAGCAGAGCCCGTTGGGGAGGTGGGGTCGGGGCACCGCACCCTGTCACATACAGAGCAGGACCGATCAGGGGATTGGGGCGCTGCACCCTGTCACACACAGAGCCGCAGGGCGATCAGGGGATTGGGGAGCTCCCCCCTATCAGGCACAGAGTAGGGCTGATCAGGGGGTTGGCGCGCCTTCCCCTGTCACGAACAGAGCAGGGCGGCTAGGGAGGGTGTGGCCCCCCC